CATTATGCACACATCTTTAAAATGTGACATTATCAAAAATGCCACACCTTATTTATATGCTGAAACGGAGGGTGTGATATTATCGAGGTTAGGGTGTAATACCTCAATATTTTGACCACGTTTGAGAGAGGAATGAAATAAGAGCAGTTTCTAAGACTTTATAGGTGAACATATTCATCGCTGGGAGAAACGAGATAAGTTCACTTCCGACATCTTGACGACATTTGTATCAATGAAAAGATCAATCAATCAAGTACTGATCGTTTTGCCAATATCTTATTACTTTGAATCTCAGCGTAAAGAATGTCAAATTTCTCGGTGGGAGTATTATTATATTATGTGTAAAAGTATACCGGAGAATGGATTCTAAACATAATCGACAAATTTCGGCTTTGTCGATTTTGTCATTGAACCGACATTTAATGAAATCACTACGGCGATGGAGTGGAATTTATCTTATTTCTAAGAGAAATGTTGATTTCTTCGAAACTTTATACAGAGCTTCTATCTGAGAGTGGATAACGAGCTGACTAAAAAAATAACAAATTCTGTCGGGAGCCAAACGTGTGAATTTGCTTCAATAAAAATAGTTTTCTCTCCCTACATTCATTCGAAGCATGAAATCCAGTATCATCCAATGAGATAAACTCATGTCCTCAAAGGGTCGAACCAATTTCACGACACTACGAAAAGCCGAAGAATGAACAGCATACGCTAATGAGAAATTCTTCGATGGGAGATTCCACAAACAGCAAACAGGCGAGCCAGAGGCAAGAGAAGTGACCACACGGTAAAGCGAACGGGCAAATCGGATAAGTTGGTGCAACTCTTGCGACGCAGGATTTACGTCGATACGAACCCGGGATAGTACAACCGTAGGTCACATGCTACGGAGCGTAGGGCGAAATGGAGGAGACACGAGCTTGCAGCGTGTGTGTGTGTGGTTGCAGATGAGGTCGAAATAAAAGAAAAGTGACCTCAAAAGACGATTATATCATGAACCCATCTACGATACTAGTAGGCGTATGGATCAGGGACCTAGATCGAGCGATCGATTGATTGTTGTGGAGAGTGGTGGCGTACGTGGGAGTCTTAGACTCGAGGGCTGGGCGCAAAGCCACCACACACGAACGAGTGGAGACTTAACCTCTAACCGCACCGGTGGACCAGTTAAATGTGGTTCGCACACCGTGCCAGTGGTTACGAGTCCAGTCAAATGCTAACCACAGAGGCCAAGGTGTACCGCAGTGTACTCCTGACAGAGCGACGGTGCCGGCTGTGGGCCTCAGTGACGAGCTGCGAGTGTGGTTACGGCTCAGTCACCTTTCCGGACGGGGCCGAAAGAGTCATCATGCTCATGCTGGTGGAGAGAGATGATGGAGCCGGGCAGCGGAGGGCGGGGTATCTTTGTTAATTTAGTGGGACGGGAAAATGTATTGTGGCGTGACTTATGTCTTTCGAGATATTACAAATTCCCACAATAACGCGGTTGCAGGAGGTGATGATGATCCTTGCTCAGACCGATAAAGCTGGTGCCGGGAAAAACTATACAATGAAATCCAACTATTTGAAACACGAAGAGAAATGATGACTGACAAAAGCGTAAGCGAGCAGCTCTTTTCGCTGATTCTTCGATTTTGGAGTTTCTTTAGATTTTTCCGCTCGGGACTTCTTTTGCCTTCTGTACAGGTCAGCGAGAATGGTTTCCGGCGTAGGATAAAGTACTCATCGTTCATTGTCGCGTTCAATTTCGCGAGAACACCTTCATGTCGAAAAAGCTGCATAATCTGGATCATAGAATATTAGCCTCCTTGTAAGTGCACGTGCACCCTGAAACTGCTGACTTCCGTAGGTTTCTTGAAGGTTTGAAGAAATTCTTGTCAAATATAATGCTAAAATACACCTGCAAGATTCTCGATGTTTCCTCATAGAAAGCTTTTCTCTGGTTTTTCATTTTCTCACATGTCACATTCGGTTTCAGTACAACGTGTGACCTGCTCAGCTGTTACGTGACTCACCATTGCAGGACCAACTGCACTTCCTCCTCTCCTGATTCAACACATATGCTGCGCATTATCCAAATTAACCTAATCATATCTACCAATGCTGGTTATAATTTCCAAATCTGGAGCAGAACTTCCCAAAAAGTTGATTACATGAATACGATGAAACCTCTACAAATTGGAAGAGCAAAAGGGCAAGAGCCAAGAATGTCTATCTTTATCTCATGTAAATGTCGAGCTATACAACACATATTTCTTTAGAAGGAACTGAATCAAAGGCCAAAGGAGAAAAATCACTGGCTTGCAATGCGACAATTATCATCCCGCTGACTAAAATACCAAAATGACTAAGAAATCTTTTCGTGCTAATATCAGCAACCCACGGGCACCTTCTTAAATGGATCACCACAGCTGTCCTCAAAACGGGGCTCAGCCCTCACGGTTCGGCTTCTCCATCCCCTTCCTCTTAGGATGTCCCATAAGAGACAATGGAAGAGGAAGCCATTGATTACAGAGTTTATGAAGTATTGTATTGTGAGGTTAAGTGTGAACACTCGTGGGAAGAGTTTGACATGACAGCTTGTGGTTTAAAATCTCTAACAATTAAGGTTATTTGAAGACTATATGGAGTGTTTTTTCACCTTACAAAGTTTTATGTATCATGTTTAACATCACAAAGAAAAACAGGCAAATGTTTACTTTCATTCAACAAGATTAGAGGAAAAAAACAGTAATAGAAGATAGATCATAGTGGAAATCAAACATCATTATTGAAATGAGCTTGGAACTATACAAGTACATTCAATAAAAGATAAATATAAAAAATACAAGATTAGAAACTCAGCACTAGCATGAAATTGAGCATCATACAAACACTACTTTCAGCTTAGTGATGTATTACAAATTAACAGTCATAGTTATATATTTATCAAAAAAAAATTTGATTATAAAAACTGACAGTACACTAAGTGTACTGTCAGTTAAGCTAATATAAAGTTAACAAATGTGTGATCTACACATTGGCAATTTTTTTAAAAATCAAAATTGAAAAACAATGATATAAGCTTTATTTGATGTTTCGCATAAACGAAATGGATAAAGCAATCTTATATTAAATGAATCAAAATTTCAAAGCTTGTTCAAAATTCACATTTATATTAACTCAAAAATAGATCAATCTCCAATTAAATGTATCTAACATGTTACGGATCATTGAATGATAATGTTAGTAGAGAGTTTACTAATATAACTCAAAATTGATCACATTTGAATTATACTTTATTCAAAAATATCTTTACTTGTATTCAAAGTTGACATCTATTATATGTTTATGATCCAATAATATTTAATCTAAAAAATGTTTCCTCACATAAAAATTAATGATTTTTGCAACCTTTACAAGACTGATGCTCAACAACATGCAAAATAATATCTCTTGAAGTCTTATGAACAGAATGATGCTACAAAATGATAGAATATTATCTCCTTTAATCTTACAAAAATCATCAATCCTCCTACTTATAAAATATCATTACTGAATCCAATGATTAGAAGATATCGCATTTGGTCACACATTCATTGTAAGGTTTCACCATTGGAAATTATCTTGATCCAACATTGAAACAAATAGAATTGATGTGTTAGTTAAATGCATAATTTTCCCCATATGATTCTCAACTATCAAGTGTTGTGGTATGTGAAGGGTTTGACAAACAAGCAATATATATATCTAGAGCAAGTCCGATATTTATGAGATTGCTTAACCCAATTCTTAGATGAGATGCGTTGTGTTTTGTGAATGTATTATTCGTATCTGTAACGCGACATAATTTTGGAGGAGAAAGTCAGTAGCAAGTCACTTTACGTAAGTATGATGAAATTGTGGAATATGTGGAAAATTTCAAGACCATAATTCTACACGCTAGTACACTCGCTAGTGGCAATCTTTTCGAACGAGGAGAAAAAATGGGGTGCTGGAAATTGCTATGGACGCAAACTTGAACTTGCACTCATTACTGAACGACCGCCACAAGATTGCTCGAAGCGTGAAATCCACAACTTTGGCCGTCTGTCATCGCCCACATGACCCCAAGCACACGAACGTCGTTGCGACGGAAAAGAAGTTCATGTCGGAGTGCTCGGCTGCTTATGAGGCCAAGGCTGGAAGGGGGAAGGGAGGGAGTCCCATACTACAGACCTCCCTTCGGGCCTCGTGGAGCCAAAATGGTGAGCTTTGGAGCATTATGGGGGCGAGAGAGCCTCAAAATTAGAGAAAGCAGGTACGAACAGTCCTTATTATGCTGTGCAGTGTTCATGTCGTTGGAGTTCCACGAAGAGCTGAGTTGACCCCGTTCCATAGCGCAGGGAGATTGCAATATTAGTGAGGTCATTTGACGGCTGCCAAGGGGGAACGTGGGCAGAACCATGCCATTTTTCGAGCTTCTGGAACTGCTCTGAATATTTTGATCGCCCACCTAACTCAACCCTAACAATGGTGCCGAAGTTCGAGTGCGGTGACGATGCACAGCCCCTCTCCTGCTGCACATGCGGACTTGAGCTGCAGTCGAGTCTGGTCTGGTCTGGTAGAGAGTCGGCTACTCGGAGGCGATTCGGAGACGTGGCTTTATGGAAGCCAGCGTGAGCTCTGTGGACACAGTCCTAGATTTGAACTCCTCACCAACTTTATTTTCGGAGAAGTTTGAGGTCGGAGAAATAAGCGCAGCAGATTACGACGATCTAAGGATCTGGATGTTTATTATTTTAACCTGGGTTCGCTCTTCTTCTCCTTCTCCCTCCTCCTCCTCTCGATCCTAGGACTCCGCGGAGACTCACAAATGGAGCTACTGCACTGCACTGTTGTCTTCCTGTTGCCCGGTCGAAGGAGGTATCTTTGGAGGAAGTTCTTACAACATGGTTCTTCCGGGGTTCTTGATGAGGCAGTCGCAATCGGAGTTTTGCCTCATACACAAACATCGAGGTGGAGGAGGGACATCATTCGGGAGCTTAGACTTGACGGCTGTCAATTTTATTACGAGCTTATCTTACGGAGGAATATAATCCTCGCAAGATCTCAACCTTGACATATCATATGGGAACTTTCTGGCGGGCATCATCCTACCTCCCGAGGCTAATGCCCGCCAGAAGAAGCAAAACCTCACCCGACATGCATGAACAAAGCCAGGATCTCAGTGGAAGAGTACTCAAAACGTGATGAAATTGCCAACAGGCGAACAAGTCAGCCTAAATCTTCAATAATTACTCCGGCCAAACTTTCCAGAAAGTATTCTTTATTCCTTCAACTCAGCATCGCCCCACTGTTGAGCAGTCAATGCAGGGTCGCCAATCTTCTGATGTATTCTGTCTGCTTGTTACACCCAAAGTTGCAGATACTATATCTCACTGTAGTCTCAGCTGAGCTTGGCACAGTGAGTTTGTCACGCGATTTCCTCTTGTGGAATCCGAGCTTTGACTTGAAATAACCCTTGAAGCAAGGCTTTCCCGCTCCTCCATCACTGTCGCAATGGGAGCCGAGATCTCTTGAATTGACTTGCGAGCTCTTCACCTTTAAATGAAAGTTGGAGTACGTGCGGACCTTGCAGACGTCGGCAGAACAGACCTAGTTCTTGAGCTTCAGGTTCCTCCTCCTCCTCTAAATTCATGCTTTACAAATGGAGCCGCTGAGCTCGCCGGACATTGTCTGCTCTTTCTCCGCGGTTGGATCACAAGATTTGACCGGGCCCAAGTTGGATAAACTTGAAGATATTTGTGTCTTTCGAGTCATTGACACTAAATTTCGGACTGCAAAACAAAATTCCGGAACTCCTCGAGTAAATGGAGGCTTTTAGTTGGTCCATCACCTTTTGACTGCCTCCACGGTTCGCCACTTGGATAAAAGGTGGATAAACCTGAAGGAATCTTTGCGGTCGTTTCTCCGAACCGATTCAGCAGGTGCTGCGCTGCGGATAGATTTCATGACAAGCGGACAGCTTGCGGTCGTGAATCGCAAAACCCGCGGCGAAATTCGGAGCTGGAACACAATGAAAGCAAGAGTCCATCCTCTCATCCATGCATGGACTTCACTCACTCGCCGCAACACTTCACCAAGGCCACACAAGTGCATAGTTCTTTGGCACTAAATCTCGGCTATAAGACTTGATGTGATCGAGCAGGTCGCCACTATTTTGACTCATGACAGCGGCGCCTCGAAACCCAGCGCCTTGGGGTCATTTCATAATCTCTCGCGCGCTCGTGGCACACAAGCCCCAACCCATGTCTGCGCTGAATCTTGCTAAGTAGCGCCGAACGAGATGATCGAGCACTCCGTGAATGAATCCGAATGCATTGGTAACAGAGGGTTACGTCTCATTGTCATCTCGAGTGGAAGTCTGCTCAAGTTAAAATTACATTTTTTGCTTATCTAGGTTGAGCGTAACTAGTTTCATGGCTGTACACGTTATGATAACGATCCAATAATTCTCGTATAATGTGAATTTATTTAGATGTATAGCAAAGTCTTCATGTCTAAATGTTATTTCATGATGTGTAAGTAGATTATAATTCAATATTGTAGAATACTGAGTATGCCGGAATACGTATCTTTGTAATATTTTAGAATAAAACTTAGAATTGTAGGACATTCATATACTTTGGTTGTTGACATTTCGCATTTTTTTTATCGACAGTAATATAATAATGTGAGTATAATGTTCAGGTATATGGTTATTTAATATAGTAAACTTCTGAATTTTCTCTCCAAACATTAGATTACATATATTAATTAGATTAGATTAGATTATTGAGTAGATTTGTGTGCACATTTTCAGGATAGTTTCGTCGTTATTCCATCAACCTTACGAAAAAAGGTTGCTGGAGAATCATTAATGCAAAAAACCGTCATGGGAAGATATGTAACCATAATATCTACAACGATATTGTGCGTTTTGAAATAAATGTAGATATAGTTTACCTTGAGAGACTAACAAAACTAAAAGACATACAATTCCTCTATTCACGTGAGATATTTACACTTTCGAGCTCTAATAAATACCACCTTCCTAATGATTTAAGGATTCAAATAGATCCGTGTTGCATTGTTGAGCTTAAATCTTACTCCAAACTCAAGTCGAAGTGCCAAAAATACATGTCAACTAAGTGAAATTACTCATATCCTTCATGGGCAGGTATTTCAAGATAGACCTCGATACAAGTTGAATCAGAATATACATCTTCATCTTGAAAAAAATTATTATTCTATTTAATTGATGTCTTTGACAGTCCACGTTGTAGCTCCTATTGTTAGTCTTGCAACTCTTCAGAAATTTCCAATGTTCCAAAGAAAAGTTTCCAAAACTCCTCAATACAAAGTGCATGTGTTTAGAAAGGATGTGATTATTAAGTATAAATGAAGGTGCATTTGTCCTGATTAAAGGTACTGGTTGTTCTAAACCGCATTCTTTCATATCTTTGTTTGCAGCAAAATATGACAATGATTATTATATCACTCGAAAACATCTACAAAGTAATACACTCACGGAAATAATCTCGTTCCGTGATAATTCTTCACTCTTGAGATGGAGTGAAATATGGGGCACGCATACAGTCCATGGTCGAAGTGTCGGGATAAAAGAAATAACTCTAGAGCTGTTAGTACCATGATAGTTATGCTTTCATGTCTATGTCTATGATATGTAACGAGATGTTCTCATAACATCGAATCATATGTCGAAGTAATATTGTAGTAAGGTTCTGGCAGGAAACATACTTCTCTATCCTAATCAGAAGAATTACAACTTATTGTGGAAAATCGATAACTCTATGTTTGTCGAGTGGTGTGCTGTCTGTGGAAGGGTGGGTTCCCAAATCGATACAAGTTGTCATATGCGCGTAGGTCCCGAGTGGCAACCAACATTGATTCAACTGCACGAAGAAAACGACACGAATGTGACCCAAATGCAAGGATGCTAAAATGTGCGCATTTGCACATGCCTCCAACTTTGCCCACACCAGAGTCGCACTCATTCTCTGTGCGTGTCGTTCTTGGTGAGCGCACCAAGTCTGCGTCAACGATCAAGCTAAACTCGGTAACGTCGCCATTTGACTCCAAGTATTGAGAGAGAGAGAGAGAGAGAGAGAGAGCTCCGACTCCGACTCCGACTCGAAATCGAACCAATTGTATTCGCGTCTCCTCGAAGCGCTGTCTGTGCACACGCAAATATCTCGCCAGCGGGAGTACATCGGCAGTGGGTGAGGACGGGTCCAATCACGGCAGAGCGTTCCAGTTTGATCTCCAACCTTCCTTCCCCTTCTGACCCGAACCTCATCATTGTCTCTCGAGAAAAGAGGGCATTGAACATATCGATCGTTCGAGTTTAGTTTAGTGGGTTCGGAGGCTTATATTAGGCACGAGAGTCGGGATTGGTTGGCCCCGGAGTGTTGCCACCCGTCGTTGAGCGGATTCCTCTTCTTTCCTGACAGGGATTTTTCGAGATTTTGACTTTGTTTACCTGTTTAGACAGGGGGTTGTTTCCAATACCGGAGGGATTTGGCGAGAGAAAAATGGAGGTGTTTCTGGGAAGTCGTTGACAATCTGCTCGACATCGTGACACTTAGCGAGGAAAATCCATCTCGCCATGTTCTGATTATGAGTTTGTTTGTGAGATTTCGTGGCACTCTTCTAGACTTGCCTCGATCGAGCTTTTCGGGCTCCTGGAGCAAGCTGAGGGAAGGCCGGACAGGGCATCATGATGAGGCACGCAGAGAGCGCTACGATTAGGAAGAAGGTACCAGAGAAACGTTGCTGGCAGTCAACAAGCGAGGAGGTTGTTAGCGCAGCGATGGGATGGGTTTGCTATCTCGGAGACACCGAGCCGGAGAAGAGTTGGGAGAGTGGCTCCAGAGTTGAGGGAAAGCCATCGTCTCCAGTACATTATGTATAGTAAGTACAAGCTTGGCATGGGCACTGCTGTGCCCAAATAGACAAGCCGAGCCCCAAGGGACGAACACATGTGCTCAGCGCACCAAGCCTTTCGGTCGACTTCCAGAGCAGGTCGTTCGCATTGACCTCGAGAAAAGTCAGTCCCTCGGAGCAGGAAAAGCTTTTGTACTCTTGGGAGCATTTGGGAGTTGCACCGAAGCAAGCCTCCGGTTTACTTTAGTAATGGGCCTGCATGGACGACGGGGAAAAAGGACAAGTGTGACATGGCAGGGCTCTCTGGAAATTTGCTCCCTCGTCGTCGTACGCTGAGTGCAAGTTGCCTGGTAATACGGGGGCGCTTTACAGCTGTTAGAGTTTCCCGGTTTCACGTCATTCACTATCCGAAATAATATAGTAACATTCCGTTCTCTCCTCCCCCTTTTTTTCTGCCGGAGCCAAATCTGTGCGCGTGCTGAGTGTGAAGTTGGAACGCACGGTCGCCGTCGTCGTCGATCACTGTCCAAGTTGACAATTTCCACTTCGAGAGAAGCGGAAGGGCCTCGCCCCGGCCCGTTCAGACTTACAGCGACAAATCGGGCCTCGAGGTCAAACCTCGACGCTTCGGATGAAGCACGTTGTGGGCCTCGGACGGCAAAAGCTTGCCATGCCAACCATCCGAGGTGTCGTTAAGCGTCCGTAACCCGTACGAGCAACGATGGATGAGATTCGACGGATGGATGGATGGAGCGCGAAGAGTATCGGGCAAGCTCCACTTCCACTAACATTCAAGATTCTCAGCCGAGGACATGCTCATGCAAAAGATGTCTCATCCCGTGCCCACCGATAATTACGACGCGCTCAAGAGTTTTACCAACCAATTGAATGCGAGCTCAACAACTCCACCGGCGATGGAATCATAAGGCCCATTGGAGTTGGGGTTGGGGTTGGCTCAAGAAGATCTCCAGATGCAGCAGCAGCACCGGGTGCCATCGGCCTCGACGCAGCGCAGTGGAAAGCGTGAGATGATGAGATCACGCCCGGACATTCGCCTCCTCTTCAAAAACACGTACTGTAGAGGACGCATAATTTCTCATCCGATCGGCTTGTCTCGCTTTGCACGAACAAATGTCGAAGGGAATAAACATTTACGAGTCGAAGGTCCCGTGGAAGACGGTGTTGATTGTGGGGACGAGCACGGCAGACGGGGTTGCGACGACGACGCCCCCTCCTCCTCCCCCCCCCCCCCCCCGGGAGACGGGAGGTCATGTGCTGGACAATAACCTTGTCTTTCTTGAAAAACGGTAAAAGGGCAGGGACGGTATTTTGGTCTTGGGGGACCGATTGGGAATAAGTCAACCGTTAAAGGGGACGAGAGGCGAATTCAAATCTGCGAAAGCTTGTGTAGGCAAACGGTACGCGCGCGAGTAATGTAGATCTGTCTGCGTGCAATGAATACTGTCCGTCTCCTTGCGCAGGGCAAAGGGGGGCATGTGTAAGAGGCCGTGGCTTTTTGGCCAACTTTAACTACCGAGCTCTGCGATGGCTCGAGGCACATACGGTTCTACAACTCTTGAATCAATACGATCACATCACCAGCTGCAGCTTTGCCTTGTCAGGCAGTCCCTCGGGGGCTCCATTTCGCCAGATTCTGTGTTCTTCCTCGACTCTGGACTCTGGAGCCTGGAGCCGGGTTCCTGGTCCCGGGTCCTCGGGCCCCGGGCGGTCCATCTTTGCTGCGTCCCCCGATTCCCCGCCCGTCCCCTCCCTCCCCCGGTTGTACACTAGCCCTCCACCCATGGAACATAAATGTCAATCCGCGCACGGTTGCCCGCCTGCCGGCCTGCCTGAAGGTTCATCGTACTGACCGTCGCGAGCTCGTACTTACGTACCATGTCCGACACTGCTTCGATTTGCAAGGCGAAATCGAGATTTTCCACCACTTCCTCTGGCTCCAGATCTAGCTCTCTCTCGCTCTCTCGCTCCTCTGCCTCTCTCTCTCGCGCGCGCACTCGCCCCCATCCTCACCCTACGCGAGTCTAGCGCCACAACTGCTGCTACCAGTGTACCGGTACCATTGCGCTGTGTACTGGGGGGTAGATCCTACGGCAGCAATATTCAGTTTACGCGCACTCCTGCTGATGATTGTGGGTGGGCGGTCGGGGGGAAGGGAGGGAGGGAGGGAGGGGAGGGCAGGGAGGAGCAAAGGGGAGGAGAGAGCTGCTTTTTGGGGCTGGCTGCTTTATCCGTGCCTGCGTCCACTGCTGCTGCGGCAGGTCGATATGACATGAACAGTCTGTCCTTGTTGGAGAAGACATGACAGGAGTTCAAACTACTCTACTCGGTAGCATAGCTCAACTGTCTGTCCCGGATCCGCGTTATGAACGAGCAGGATCGCCTCGTTCGATGATCCTTTTGGGGTTTAGCAGAGCTTGGAAATGGACCTAGTTCATGAGTAGTGGGCAGCTCTAGCCATGGCATTCTCGTCGGCCTCCTGCAGCCCCAGCATTCAATGCTCCTCCCGAAAAGATGGATTCCATGGATGGGTCCGAATCGTCCGTTTCCTGTATGGAGCCCCCCGACCTTTACAGTGCCCATTCCCCTTTTCGAGCCAGTCCGCCATGCTGCTTCTGCTGCTGCTGCTCTCTCTCTCTCCCTCTCCCTCTACTCGTACCGTAGACCTACCTCGTAGGGGCATCAGGAATACGCGTGTATGAGTACAGATATGTTCGAGCTCTTCCTTCTCCAGTGCAGGAAGTAGGTTGGCAGGCACTACACGGGTACTCACTCATCCATTGGGTGCTGTACACCAGCCTAGTGCCGCTTTCGGCTGTCGCTCTAGCTAGTACGTTACTTTGCAGGGGAGCAAACATTCAAACTTCTGAGCGAGCGAGCGAGAGAGAGAGAAAGAAATTAAGGAGTTTATGGAGTTTTCAGATTTCTCATCTCACTCCGATCTAGAAGTTGGGGAGCTTGATTATCAATGCTGAAGAACGCGGAACCAGGATCCTAGAAAGCCTAGAGACATGATGCTGCAAGTTCGAGATATTGATTGAGAGGGGATCAGGGAGAGACGAGCAGAGAATGGAGGGGGCAGGATCGAGCTGAACTCAACTCAACTCAACTGGACTTCACTGGACTGGACTGGAAGTCTCGAGACCTCGAAGGCTAGAATGTAGGAAGTACTTGATCTAGTTCGTTATAAGATGGTTACGCAAACCCCTCGCGGGCCACTTTTAATTTATGAGAACACTTTTGCACCGATGTTTTGAACGCAGCGTGTAACAAATGCTGTTGCTTCGCTCACCCGTCCTCACAAGTCAAGGGACGGAGCTGAGGATGAGGTGAGGTGAAGGTTGGTAGTAGTAGTAGCGGTAGTAGTATTACCAGTAGTCGTCGTAGTGCATAGAGCCTAGAGAGACATATCCTTTTCGCAAACATTCAATTCTATGACACCTTCGGAGCCAACGAGTTCAGAATTCTGTCGACTGAGAACACGTACAACCATAAATGCTTTATGAACCACTTCGTCGCAAGGCATCAGAGAGAAGCCTACAGACATGATCGTGCCCTTGAAGTCGACTTCTGAATGAAGGCCATCTCCCTACAGCCCCTGATCGAAGAATGCAGACTTGCCCTGCAGGCAGAACGATCTTCAAGCCTAGCGAGAATAGGCCCCCCCTTTCAAGTCGTAGGGAGCTTGCGAAAAATGCACTCTCCTGATCATTGAGGTCGAGCCTGTAGATTATATCCTCCCTGCGCCAGTATAGTGTCACCAGTTACGTACTTCTACGTATACTCTACTCTACTCTACTCTACTCTACTCTACTCTCCCTCTCCCTCTCTCGTAGGTAGGAAAGGAGTCAGTGCGGCCCCTCGCAGCAGCTCTAGAGTGTTCTTATCGATGAATGTTCTCCCGGGTGCCATTAAAGCTCGAGTACCGATGATGAGTGAGGATCAGGGTGATGGAAATTTGCGAGTGCGCGAGGCAAAACGGTCGCGTTCTCTCGACCAGGAGCAGGAGCAGGAGCAGAAGGTCGAATCATGCTCTTGTACGGTGGCCGGAGATCGTCGATGGGAGGAGCAAGGCAGGTGCTGCTAGGCTGGCTAGGCTGAGCAGATGGATGGATGGATGGAGGGATAGGTGGGTGCGCCTTGAAAGCCAGCAGGAGGATGACGATCGAGGGCGAAAGGAGAGGAGATGGAAACCGCAGAAAGCTCGGCCAAAGTATCAAAGTTTCTAGCGCAAGGAAGTGACGTCAACGGTGAGAGAAAAGAGGCATCTGCGCTGCGCTGCTCGCAAGAAAAGTGGGAGCCGCGCCTCACTCCTCGGGCGTCCATCTTCTGGGTTCCGAGGAAGTGTAAGACGGAGGATCTGCATCGACAGAAAAGCGGAGACGGAAAGGTCTGCGCCGAGAAGCAAGAGCCCTCGCCGCTTGCGCGTTGCGCACGAGGTCGTCTAGCACTTCGCCCGTCATCATGAGCCTCGCCTTTACTTTCCCGGTTTCTCCAGCGTCATCCGCATGCTCCATGGATAACAGCAGCAGCTAAAAATCAGACTCCATGCAACAAACAAGATCCAAGGCCTCCGCTCGCTCTGAGCAGCCCTAGACCCCCCTCGTCCTACTATATAGCGCCCTTCCGTCTGAGATTTCGAGCTCCCGATTTCGACATCAACCCTCCCTTCCCATCTCATCTCGCCCGAAAGCTCCTGTTCTCAGAGTCAGCGGCCTGGCCCTGGGCTTCAGATTTATTCCTGCGACACAGGCTCCCATGTCCTCACGAAGCCTTTAAAGCGCTCGGCCCGCAGACGATCCATGGACTCTCATCCGGCCATAAGATCGTTGCGTGGGGAGGGCGGACCGGAGCAGGCCCTCAGAGCGACGAATCATCGAGCGCGAAAGCGGACTGGGTCGCGGCAAAAGTTCTTCTGAGGGCCTAGAGCTTGAGCCTAGACGGGCATGAGTACGACATCCATCCGTAGTGGCCCGCCCGCCCGCGCAGCAAATCCTCCATGCGAGCCAGACTCCAGTAAAAGGGCATTCAGCCTCCGAGCGACTCCCTCCCTCACTCCCTCACTGTGGCGCGAGATCAATTAAACCCGGCCCACGGCGGGTCAGTGGCAGATTGTGCCACGAGTGCGGTCTCGGCATGCCATATAACGGTAATTGCTCAGCCGGCGACGAGACATTCGGCTCGAGGATGGCGATCGTGGAGAATTCGTCATCTCGTAAGCGTCCGGAACACTGGTCCCGGTCCGCGTACAAGATATGTTGATAAACTGGGCTCCACGTGCTCCGGACAAGAGAGCTCATGGCTGAAACTGAGTCGACGATATTTGGAGATTGAGTCGAGCACAGGAGAAGAATATTTATATAAATGCCGACCTATCCATTCATCATGAATATCTCTCTCCTCTAGTGGCAGTCTCTGTCGACTGGGAGAAGTGCCCTGCCCTGCCCTGCCGATGGGGATCGACAACAATCCGAATTGACAAGGAATTCTCAAGCTCGGATATCGCACCCGACAGTGTGGAATCCAATATGACGATTTCCGATTTCCGAATTCGGATTGCGGGTTTGCGTGTTTAATAACGAACCCGAATCAGAACAAACCCAACCCAACCACCGTGAAAGGTGGAATCCAACAACATAACCACACGACACAGTGTTCGTTAATTGTTGAGAGAGAGCCTTGAGACCCGGCTGGCTGCTGCTGGTGTGCTAGAGTTTCCTGGCAGCCGACAAATCCACATGTGCCCACACACACAAACACACTCTCCCTCCCGCTCGCTCGCTCATACTCGTGTACTCAAGTCCTCACAAAAACATAGCTGCTGTGAGGTCCGGTCCTCTGCGACAGGGTCAGTCGGCCCAGCCCAGCCAAGCCAGTCCGTCCGTCCCTCGGTCATACCATGGACCATACGACGCAAGCTCGTACCATATTTCCTCTCGCCCACCGACAACAACTCCAGCTCCGGGTGGACTGGGGCCGGACGCACAACGACGTGCTTGCTGTTCACGAGCTCGACACAAGCAAGCCAACAAACCAAGAAACAGTGACAGCAACAGGAGCTCGAGTTCTAATTCTGCCCTCGCAAGACCTGGGACATTATCCATCCCTCCCTCCCTCCCTCAATGAGGAGACCCTTGGACTACGCTAGCCGCACTTTTCTTCCTCCATTCCTTCCTCCATCCCTCCTTAATCCTCGCCTTGGCCTCCAGCCAGCTGAATCAGCATCGGCAGCCAAGCAGCCCGCCTGCGCTCCAGAGAGAGAGAGAGAGAGCAGGGGACGGCAGGCAGGGGAGAGTGCAAGCAGCCTGAGACGCAACCCTACAGCGCATCCCAAGGGCTTCGTCAACCCAAAAATCTTCCTGTCACGAATTTGAAGTCGGGCGGGCGAAGGGCGAAGGGCGAAGGGCGTGTGAGTGAGTGTCTGTGAACATAAATGGTCTCGCAGCGTCCGGGGGCGATCCCTGTAGAGCAGGGAGAGGGAGAGGGTTGCTGGCCTTGCGCATCCGAGTCGGCACATGGCGATTTAATTCGCCCTAACCATGACTCGGGCTGGGCCCAAGTGCATGTGGCATGCAATCCGACTGGGATCGCAAATCTGCGATGTGTCGGGCTCGCACGGCCGAGTGCGCTTGCAGGGTCGAGGGTTACATACTCGTGCTCGTCACAGTCAGAACCACAATAAGTTTCGTTCTCGTGAGCATTTGACTGTGATGGCAAGTGGGGTCTCCAACAGTGCGTCCACTTGTCAATGATCGGGTACTGTTGGAGCTCTCTTTGAGAAAAAAACCCTGATGGGACCTGGTCTGTACAGCCCCGGCCTCAATCATCTTACGTCTCGCCACTGCTGGTCGTCTACTATGCGACCCACTTCCGAGGAAACAGTGTCGAGACCAAATCAGAATTCCGTACACGATCGACAGGTCGGCGCTGGGATAGTGACAACTGCCCACGAAAATTTAACCTCATTTACACCCAGCAGCGAACTCAAATGATGGAGGGGAGAAAGAGAGGGAGAGACAGAGAGAGCACATGAGAGTTTGACATTATTCACACGAATCAATCTCAAATGAAAAGAGAGAGAGAGAGAGAGAGAGAGAGAAGAGTGAGAGTCGGTCACGAGAATGCGGAGATCGAGATGACTCACCGATCGAGAGGTAGTTGACAGAAGAAGATGGGCGGCGGCGGGTCATCACACAGACCGAACTCGACCTGAAAGAATTGCAAGGCGGGCGGCCTGAGAGAGACAGATGGTCAAAGTCTGACTGAGCCCACAAACCCATCAGAGCGTCGGAGAGACAGAGAGTAGGATCCAAATGGCAATTGTATTAATATTTACATTCCGCCGGCCGGCCTCGACCAGGCCGGCGAAAACACTGAATTCGCAATGATCCTGAGTACATCATAGATTTACTTGTGGTTTTTTTTTTTGCTTTTACGATCTTATAGCTTTTGGAACTCCCTAACGGAGAAAGAATGTGATCAATGCATACTACGTTCATCATCATGTACAGAGCTACTATTTCCAGCTGTACAAAGTCTGTACTTGTGACCCCGCGGTCCCCAGAATACCCAACCCCTGTGGTAGAACCCTTGAGCTGGATGCAAATCTTCAAAATCAGAAGTTGCCTCGTCGGTCTCAAGAAAAAGGTGTGGGCACAAAAACAGGCCACCAATACTACAAGGAATTGGTGCGAACTCGTCCAGTGTGCGAAACCACACGGGAACATGAATCTCCCTACGCTATCTTGTTGCAGCTAGTGCTGATATAAATCTGACATAGAAGATCGAAGAACAGCAGGAGCTCCGTAGACGACCTTCGCAGATGTGATGATAAAAAGGTTTCACCTCCGCACATAGGGTCGCTTCTACGGAGGCAGGCTCTCAAAATTTTACTCAACTGCTCTCCATACCCTCTGTTCTGCTCTGCTTAGATCAAAAAACGTTTAAGCGTTCGCAGACTGGGGCATCGGGTACGACATGTGCTGCATGGCCATTGGGGGCCCTTGCATCACAGGCACATGCCCGTAAGGTACATGGTGCGGATGGCCCGTCGGAGTCATAAGCATTTGTCCTCCAATCGCTTGGTCGGGTCCTCCCATACCTCCCATATCATACATACTCGCCCCTTGTAGGCCTGACCTTGGCCATTGAGCTCCCGGCGATGGCAGGCCCGTGATGGGCCCTGGGCTCTGAGGAAGCGAGTCTCCATCGTTCACGCTCGTGATGTCGTGGATACTGGACCGCCTTTTGTCCTTGTTGTTGATGGAGTTCAGGCGAATGAAGTACTTTTGGGCGTGGCTCGCCACTTGCGTCGGCGTCCTCGATACTACAAAATTCCTCGAAATGCTTCGCCAGTCTCCCTTGCCGAATTTGGCAAGCCCTAGCAAAAATAATCTGTGCATACCATACCCACAGATGCATCATCGTCAGTCCGGCACGGGCTAGCTCGAATCATTTTCTGAGACAGCTACGGGTCCTCTACCTCACTCGGACCGACCTCGTTTCACTTAGGTCTCGACACTGACAGTTAGCGGATTCGAAATCAGGAGGATCCTTGTGCCTCATTGTGTTTGAATAAAACCTTAGGTACAGTTCAAATGGCTCTCCTTGAGCCTCGAAAGAATGGAGAACGAGCGGGAGAGTGACAAACCTGTGCTCTTCTTCGGACCACGGAATTCCTTTGCGCCGCTCGGGATCACTGGCTTTGGAGCTAGGAGCCTTCCCCGAAGGCAGACTGGTGGCATTCGTGGCATTTGCATTGGAGCCACCGAGACCGTGGTGTCCTCCGTGAACGGGCTTCCTCGAGGTGGGGGAATCCTCGTCCGAAGACGACATTAGGCCGACGGACTTGTGGTAGTTTGGCAGGGCCACACGTCCAGTCTCTATTGAATTCAGATCTTCTATCAACCTATCGTAATGCTTCTTCACCTCGGTGGGATCGACGCCAGGCAGCTTGGCTGCAATCTTCTCCCATCGATCGGGAGAATCTCCGTCATAGATGGCTAACGCCTTCTCAAACAACTTGTCCAATTTTGGCGTCCAAGGAGGAGGAATCGGTAACTGTCCAGGAGACCCCGCTGTTTGGGCGACGGTTGTTGCCATCAGTGATCTCCGATTCACCTCAAGCCCAGCACCCAGCGATTTAAAATCGGAAGAAATTCGATTGCGGGACGGTGAAATGAGGCTCGGCAATCGACGGGATTGCTTCACTCGGCGCCTCGTTGGCAAACGGCGGGCTCAAAATCAAATGACCTCCCACCCATAAAAACCTTCTTTCTTCGACTCCAACTCGGCAACTCCACCACCCCTCGGTCAATCGATCAATCGATCAATCCCGCGGCCGAGATGAACGAGAATTGAGGAACCCGTTCGAGCTGGTCTGAAAGATGTCGCAGCTTAAAGGCCCGGACGGGACGGTCTTCCGGATGAAAAATATAGAAAAATACTCGCTCGCTCGCGAGGCGGGGCAGGAAGATGGTGGAACGAGCTGTGGAAGTGACAGTCGCAGCTGAACGGAACCCCGCGGCAGCAGACGCAGTCGGTACGAACGAGAAGAGAAGGAAGCAGCGGCGGAAAGCGAATGGAAAGGGGCGAAAGGCGGTGCTGTTGGATGCACAGGAACTCTGAAGAGGAGATCTCTGCGCTGCAGCAGCAGCTGCTGCTGCTGCTCGAGGAGAGAGAGAGGAGATGAAAGGAGAGGAGAGAAACGGGCCTCGGGCGGAAGCAGGTGTGAGAGAGAGCTCTCGGTGCGGCAAAGGGGCTGAGCAATGTGGAGGGCTCTGGCTTTATGGGCTCGCTCGCTCTCGCCCGCGGTCCCCTTCGGCAGTCGCAACCGGACTGCGGGGGCGGGCGGGGGCGGGCGGGCAGACAAGTAGGCAGGCTCGCGAAAGCGAAGGGCAGGGCACTAATAACCAACACCCTTGCCCGCCCGCCCGCCGTGTCCTTCACAGTGCACTACCAGGCCCGGCGAGAGGGCAAGCCCCGAGCGACCGGGCGGGCGGGCTATCCTACGACACAGTAAATACCAGCCTCGTCATCTCTCTCTCTCTCTCTCTCTCTCTCGCCCGCCCGCCGGCCTTCCTTCGGCCCTTCTCCTAAACGGTCCTCGACGGGCTCGGCTGTCATTCTCCTAAACTTTCCTCCGGATCCTTGCTCTGTGTATCAGCCACCGATCGGTCGAGCGATCGCGACCAGCGGCGTCAGCGACTTGTCGGATATCCTCGCTTCATTACTGCTAACAGTGCACTACCGGACTATCCTCCCGGCCCGCCCACTCGCAGGCAGAGCTCAGGCTCGGCTCGGCTGGGCCGGGGGGGGCAGCGATACGGGCCTAAATATTTTCCTCTTTGGGCCGGCCAATGGCGTCCGAGCACGGTCGCGCGCTCCCCTCCGTCGGATCGGAGATCGGGCGCGGTCTTGTCGCATATTGCCATTTTTTTCTCGGCGATCCTCCGCAACGAGCTATATCCGTCCCACGGCGTGCTCTCGAGAGCGTTTGAATATGTCAAGAATCTGGCGACAATGCCGTCGGATGGCTCATCGGAGGGCCTGGATTCAAGTGTCGGAAAGCCGGCCTTTAAGTCCATCGGCATTTAGCTCGGCAGGTCGCCCCTCGTCTCGCTCTCGCGCGCGTCTCGCGGGCCTTGATTTAGAGCTGGCTTGATGTTGGAGGCTTGCAAGCGCGGCCTTGGGGTTTTGTTTTCTCGCGGGCGCCCGTGCACTTTATGTTCGGAGATTTATATATTTCGCCACGGGTTCTCATCAACCTTATCTGTAAAGGATATGAGTCTTATCCTGCACTGCCCCTTTTATTTCTACGCAGCCCGGGATTAAACTTCACCCTCTTGCGCACCTTTTTCGGGGCGGAAACTCATAATTCGCACTGCCCCAGCTGCCCGGGCCTGCCCGACGACTCGTCGACCGGCCCGTCAAATACCCCACCGCCAACTTAACCACCCGCCCGGCGTCGAATACGGTCGCGACAGGAGCCCGGCCGCTGGACAATGTCCTCACGGTTATATTGCGAGCGTCGTCCGATGGGCGATCGGGCGACGGGCCGGGGTCGGGCCGGCCCCCGAGCGGGCAAGGGCCCGTCGCGGCGCGTCTCCCCGGTGGCACTTTCCATTCGACCCCAATCATCGCGCAGATATCTGCCCGGTTCTCGAATTCGCCGTTGCCCCCCTCATTGGTGCTCCTGCGGTCTCGAACTAATTTGTCGCATGTGAGGGTTTTTGGGGGCCTGGTGAAAGCTATTTTTAACCTGGACTGGTAGGGTCCTTAAAGACGGTCCCATATGGTAGGCCCCGGCCCCACATGGCACGGCAAGTAGCGCTAGGTCCCACAGATTTCTTGTTACCTCTTTCTTTTCGCTGGATGGCTGGCTGGCTCCTTCCCTTCTCCCCTCTAGAGTATTAATGCTTTCACTGTGGGCATTTTGCTCGAAGGCTCCTCATTCTCCCCTCCTCCTCCTCCTCCTCCTTGCCCTCAAGATCTACCGCCAAGAATATCCCGCTCTTCGCCCCTCCTCCTCCTCCTCCTCTTCCTCCCAGTTACCACGGGGCCTCCCCCCCGCCCCCTGACTTGAGCCCCAGTCTTCTAAATCTCCTTTGCCTCGAGAACGAAATGCCAGTGAGAGGCTCTGTCAGTCGTTATTCTCGATTCTCTGGGAGAAATCGCAGGCTCTCTGCTATGAGTTGTTGCTGTAAGGGGGCGAGGCGGAAGAACGAAGCCAGTCGATTTAATTCGGGGAATTTTCCCTTTCCTCCGACGAAGCCGAGGAAAGGAAGGACAAGCCGAGGCGAGCGGAGAACATCGACGAGGCCTGACACTCGGGGTTCCGCCCTCTGCTTCGGCCTAAATATAATACTCTGACCCGCCTACAGCGCGCATCGTCTAGGCTGTTGACGTCTCCGCGAAATTTTCCCCTTGACTTTTACTTCTACCGCTCCCGGGTCAATCTTGCCTCGCCATTACGGATTTACCCTTTCGGTTTGTCGTTTCTGGGACTCTTGACCCCGCCGGTCCATGTACGTGGCGAAAATACTGTTTTCTTCCTTGCATTACGTGGCGCTGAGCAATACTTGTCATTTGTTTTCTTCCTCCCTCTCATTACTCGGTCTCCTCGCGTTCACTTGCCAAACTTAAATTAACTGATATTTTCTTCTTCTTGATTTACCACAGGAACATTAAAACCTAACAAAAAGATGATTTCAATACAGCACAATCTTATCCTTGCGAAAACGTAGGTTAGGCGATGCTCCTTGATATTTTGGGAAAAACATATAAATGAAAAAAATTGGAAGTTAAATCTATCTTACAAATCAAAAGATTTGTTATATAAATATAAATTCAAACATATACGTCTTCCTTACCTCATGCATGAAGAGCTCATAACTGTCTGAAATATTGTACCAAAAATTTCAACTTACTTTATAATCCTCCCAAGGAAGTGAAATGAATTAATATTTATGCAACAGTATTGACTTTCTATATTTTTTTAATATTATTATAAAATATTCAGTGCATGTACATTCAAAGAACTTATTCATATGTATTTTTCCCTTGTATTTTTGGACAATACGAACATCACTTCCAGGTTTTATTTCCTGCAACAAAAATTCTGTGAGAATGTGTTTCTCTTCATATAGAACTGAATGACATCCTTTGTAAGTTTTCAAATAAATGAAGCTGAAAAACACCTACAAAAACATAAGCTCTTTCGAATATTAATGGAAGAGACGATCAAAAATTGTTCGTACGAATATTCAAATTGGAGCACTGAAATTGGAAAACATATTGATTTCTTCGTTGTTACAATGACGATATTTGTTTGAAATATCTAAAAGATTTGAATCGAAATTCGTACTTGGCAAACACTGTCAAGTTTCCCTGAATTTTGTCGGCTCTTGTCATTCGCTCAGAGCTAAGTCATTCATTTCCACGTTCGTAGATGCGGAACGAGTGAAAAACAAAGCAAAAATGTGATTTAAAAACTTAAACTGCTATCATCGAATCAGATAATTATAGTTTTCTGCACATTTCTTCTTGATTTGAATGTAAATGTTTGGAATTTGGAGTTTGTTTATACTCGTGAGGTGCAAGTGCACCTCACGAGTATAAACAAACCCTTGCAAAGGTAGAATTACTTCCCTTATCTTCCTTCGTGCTATATAACTTGTTCCCTTCGGGCCTCTGTTCCAAAACGCTGAAATGCGTCAGAACATCTCGGACTAGATATAGGTGGCCTCCCTGGTAGAGGATTTGTGGGCTCGATCGGAAAGTGTTGCAAATATTGGTTTCCTCAACTGAGAAATCCTCGGTCATCACTTGCACATAGGGGATGGACCGCCAATAAATTGCAGCGGCCTCAAATTTGAGACCCCGCGATGTCACTCCACAGTATAGTTCACACTTCTAAGAATGTCCTCGCCCTGAAATTGCAAGCAATATTCAAGACGAGCTCTTGACATGGGAAAGAGACGCAGAACAATATGCATCGGAGATAATCGGGCAGTGTACGAGGAATTGCTGTGTGTACATCCTGCTGCGTACCATGTCTTCTCCGATGTTTTCTCAAGCAAAGGCCAGACTCGAGGGCTGAGAGGAAATGAATTCATGAGGAGCTCTGGCTGTCCCGTTGCGCTTTCCACGGGCAGTAGGTGCCGGGCCTCACTTATGGCAACCGGCAATTTATCTGACAGGGCCGATGCAGGTGACAGTCTGTTCCCCGCTTACCTTGTCTCGATAGTACCCCCGACACGTCTCTCAGTACTTTTCTCCGGCTAACGGGCGTTTCTTTGTTCTTCGCCTGTCATATTTGCCGGCAAGGCCTCCATATCGAAGAACGTCAGACATGTGCTTCTCTCGCTCCTTCCCACTGTACAATCTAAAAATACCGGGGGGAGGGGATGGGGGGGGAGGGGGAAAAGCTAACAGTAAGGGGGATGTCACACGTTTTTCTTCCTGCCGTATGCCGTTCGTTCCTGCGCTGCTTTGGTTCCTTCCGTTGCGCCTCGGTTGCCTCCGGCAACCGAGGGCTTCACGTCCGAGGTCAAAGGGCCCCGGCCATTCCACGTAACACGAACCTCCCGCCACGTAGATTGCCAAGTTCAAACCAGCCGCTGTTCGTACTCCCAGTTGTTGACAGCGGACGCAGAAAGACGCAGAAATGTTCTTTCGACATATTCTTCTCGCCTGCCACGTCGGTGCGGTACGTCGAGTGTAGATGCTCAGCGGGCGTGAAACTGCCCCATGAATGCCCTGCGCTTTCCACGTCGAGCGCTCTCAAGGCCAGATCGGCATGTGCGAGTTTCACACACTTTCCTCGTTCGGCCTTTTCTGGATCCCTCCTCCTTCCGCCTTCCTTTTCATGCAGATTGCCATGGGATTTCGACTTCCTCCGCTGCGGCCTTCCCATGAAGTCACTGCGAGCGGTACTTTTCGCCTGGTCCGTGTCATGCTTATTCCTTCGGCCACAAAAGGAGCCACTTCAAAGTGCCGGTAGGGCGGACGTTGGCACTTGTGTTCGGGTCCTGGACTCTCGTCCCGTCCCGTCCTGCCCTGTGCCGTCATGGCCGAGCGGTGAGATGAAGAGAGCGTCGACCCGTGAAAAGCACGAAGAATCCGAACAAAAGGAGGTGGAAGCTCAGACCCAACCCCGTACGAAACCCACTCGTGGGTCGGTTCTTGGCCTTCGTCGATGAAGCGATATAATTCTTGTTATGATCCGGGGAGCGCAAGTGCTGAAGCAGCTCATCTCGGACTCGAAAGCCTAGAAGTTGAGAACGTGAGCAAAAGAACATGAAACCCTAGACGACAGAGGGCCTATAGAGCTCCCTTTCCCCCCAGAAAAGAAGAGAGAAAGAAAGAAAGTAAGAATAGAGCGATTTATGGGACTGCTGTTTTGATTCCAAAGCGAGTTCCACCATGGGCACAATAATTACCGGCGACTTTACTTTTCCTCTACAGGAGAACGGAGCCCCACACACAAGTGACAAATTCCACATTCCACATTCTCTTCTCTTCGCTCCCCCCCTACTACAATGACTGCTATGGCAGCTTGACTCGGCCTTAGCTCTTCAGAGCGCACGGCCGAAATGTGTCCGGTATATTCCACATCGACGTCATACAGTTTGTTTCTCACGCGTACATGGACCATCGAAAGGACGAACTTGTTCACTCAACATGTGCTCTGTAGGGCGGAGGCGAGGCGAGGCGAGCTTGGAGCTTTGGAACACTTGGAACCCACCATGAAATCCCCCATTCGTGGGGCTGGCGCAGGTTTCGAGATGTAGTGATGCTTCTGTTCATGCGCGATGAATAAATAGGGCACCCGTCGCCCCATACAAAAGATACAAAGAAACAAAGATCAGCTCAACAAGGCCTTTTCTCGAACAACTTATGGATCTATAGTTTTCCATAAAATATGATATCGAGAATCGTGGTGTCCTTTTGGATATGTTTCTTTATACCCAAACTGCGTGTTTCCCACATGCGGGTTTCTGAGCGTTGTCAGACTCCTTCGGCGAGCGATATAAAAACGTCCCCAAGAATTTGGGTGCTGTGACGAGCTTTGCACTCGTCTGACCTATGCACTCGCATGCCTCCTCCTGCCTTAGGAGTCTCTTCGCTTCCAAAGGGACGTGCGTCCTTTCTTCTTGCCCACCATTACTCCCATAATATTCTCCATCAGAAGGAGCCTCAGATGATCTATTGTTGTGCTTTGAGGAAGGCTCATTAGTGCCTTCGAAAGAGAGCTAGACGACACAGCCTCGCGTCCATCATTTTCAGGTAACCAGCTATTCCTAGAACAAATTTGCTGATTCACGGCTTAGCGAGCTTTGGGTTCAAATAATATACCCGGACACTAGTTCGGTCACTGGTCCATTAATTTATGTTAGTACTCTAGAAGAATACGTTTCACGAGAAGATGTAGGCGGTGGGCAGGCACGATAGGTATGAAGTGTGTTTGCAAATGGCGAGACGGATTTACGGTCAGCGGCCACTTGATTTGTTGAATACGTTGTAATAACGATGGCAGTCGAGCCAGGACCATAATCACGATACGCAAATCCACTGTTAAGCATGATCAGCTTTGAACTAACAAAATCCCCTACGGTAGTGCGGTAGCATCTCTAACGGTATCTTCCACCTTTTGTGGACGTGTTGCACATTCTCCCAGCCCACGTGGAGAAATCAAAATCTCTAACACTGTCAGAGGCGGCAAATGTGAGGTTAATGAGATCCGTATGGGAACGTGACGGCTTAGTGAGAGTGGTTACGCTGATTCCTACGTCTTCCGTTGCAAACCCACTGTAGACGCAAAATTTGGATGCCCAGAGACAACAAGAGCTGCGATGGTATGGTCCTCTCCGCTTGGAGGGGACCGACTGCTAGAGATAACACAAGTTAGGGAACTAGAAGGGCTGATCATTGATGCTCACCTCGTAGTTGTAGTCTTCGTACTCTTTTCCTTTGCGCATGAATTCCTGCAATATCCGGGGCCGAAAGAGCAATCGAATTCGAAATGAGGATGCCCATCCGAGTCACAAGAGGAGTAACGGATTTTTCTTTTCACACAACTCTTGTTCCACGACATCCTCTCGCTCCATTCGCTCTCTTCCTTCCGAACGACCTAAAAGCAAAACTCGGCCAAAAGCAGTCCCAGACTTGATCGTACAGGACACCGATTCCTGATGGAATTCAATCATCTCAAAAGGTCTAGGCTCCAACACAACGCTCCTCGATGGTATGGCCCTCAAGGATCATGCCCTCGACTTAAAAGTATATGCACCCAAAGGGTCCAAAGATCCAAAGATCCAAAGATCGTACTTGCTTCCTGGGGGGTGGAATGTTCCGTCTTCAATGGTGGAAGAAGAAACTTTGGTACAAGTACGCCTCGACACTGACACTTGGAGAGTTCGAGAGTGCCCACTCGTAAAGACGTGAGACTCGTAACAAACCGCAACAGCGACAGCAACAGATCTCTCCCCCACCCCCGTCCCCCCGACTTATCATTTATAGAGACGTTCCAACATTCAACCCCAACAGATTCCTTATATATCGTACGAGATTTTACGGTGTCGGGCCGGACCGCCAGCCGGGAAGTGAGATCATCGCCAAAAGCTGCCGGGAGAGACGACGTTAAGCTTCCAGGCAGCGGCCCGGTAGCCGGAGCTGCTCGCCGGCATGGAGAAAAGAAAAGACCGTGCAGCTGCTGCGCCTGGGCTCACCTGACCTGACCCGACCTGACCTGACCAGACCTAGCCTGGCTGGGCCGGGCCGGGCCGGGCGACTGAAGGAGGGCAGGTGGTTGGAATCCCAAAGCGCAACGGATCCACGGTGCGTCTTGATTTTAGAAAAACACCAGTGGGCCCCACTTCCGTCCTCACTGACTGACTGCCCCATCGACTGGCGGACTGACTGACTCGCTGCGTCGCTCTCTCCCTCGGAGTCCCTCGCTCTCCGCTCCCTCCTTGCGGCTACAGTTGGGACGGGGGCGGGGCCACCACGTGGGGCCGTGAATCGGGGGAGGAACAGAGTTTTACCCGCGCGGTGTTTTGCACTTCGGGCCTCGGGCATTTGACTTGCACTTGTACAGCGCTCGGCTGCTCGATTGCATGGGGCTCCAATTTGTTGTCCTTCATGGCGCTGCGGTTTTGATTCCGTTTCCGGAGACAGCTTGCGAGGCAGCGAAGGAAGGGGGACAGTGGGCAGCCGCTCGGATGCAAAACGTTTCTATTCGCTTGAGCGTCTTTCTTTCAGCAATCCCACTCGATGGAGGACGCAGGGAGAGGGTCGGGGAAAGCAAGCACGGCGCAGAGGAAGTTTCAGACCTTTTTTTCCAGACGGAGAGGAAGAGGAAAAGGAAGCACTCCGAACGTTGGATCATGATGACTACGGAGCGACTAATTCGATTTGCTAGCGCCAGGTTGGTGGAGTCTGTGGACCGTCACGGTGACAATCGAGATTCGAGTCAAAGGGTGGGGATATAGAGGAAAGATGATCGATGCTGCTGCTACTTCTTCTTCTTCTTCTCGTTCGCAAATGTGAGCTGCCCCTTTACATAATAGGACGATGGGCAAAAGTCTGATCGCCTTATGGCATTTCCTTTAACTTCTAGTGGGGCGAGGTTTGTCAAAGTTCCATTACGATTTTCTTTTGCACATAGAGCTTTTTCACGAGAGATGAAGATAAGGCAAATTTTACTCTAGGATTTCATTTATTCCACGATTAGCAGTGATACATTTACCATTTATTTCACGAAGAGGTAAAGAAAGTGTACTTTATCTGTAAAGGGTATAAAATCACCGGGTCTCAATGTGTCAAATGTATATGCCAGTGACACATTCTCATGCTACAACCACACGATGTATCATCAGTTTGCTAAAGGTTGAGGATGGATCTACAGACCAATTCGACTCTCTAGATTTGTTCTACGTGAGGCTTTATTTTCGGACCAGGTAGGTGCATGTGGATGTTGCAGGTTTTCAGGTTCCCCATCTGTTAGCACCTTGGTGCCATTAAAAGAATACAATTTGCGGTTCATTTTCTTTAAGAATCCTATTGCTATTATATTTCTTGAGATCATCCATGGTGTTGCATAGGAATTCTTTGGAGGTCTCGTAGGAGAGATCACTACAGTTCAGAGTGTTGTACCACCCTTCGCCATTGACGTTCACAAAATACTATGATATGATGTTCGAATGACTATCGGAATTATGTTTGATCAAATTTTCAACATACTATAATACATCTCATCAAAATTTTATTGCCGCGGAGCTCCTCCTATTAGAAAAGGATCTCGCTTCGCAAAATATTGATACATAGAGATGGCAAATACGTATTCAGATATCTCTCTGAAGGATTCGTATCTTCCTTATCGTTCTTCACCTAGATCGTGTGGATTTTTTAATGCAATCAGATAATGTATATGACGCGAGCATGTGTTTTTCTTTTAATATTATAATCATATAATTTGATTTTTTTATGCATCAACCTCATGGACGTGGGATTAACCATTTATCATTGGGAACATTCAACCTGTCATCGTCCAAATCTGAAATCAAATGAGAAATTAATGAATCGACTATAGTTGGCCAGCTATTACATAAACTAGCCTTCAAATAGGTGAAGGTTTGTCATAGGTTACATATTCTACAACTACGTTCTATAATCACATGAAATGTTAGAGAAAAAAGGGATTCAGTTTTCATCATGCAAAGCTTTAGTGAGGCAATATTATTGCTTGATATTATTCAATATATACCGAATTTAATCAAACTCTAGTTTTCACGATGAATGTAGTCTAGCAATTGTTTCGATACTTTTGCATTTTAGATTTTACTTGAAACTGTTTCTCGCTCTTATCGTGATCATCCTGCATTGATGGAAGAAGAGAAGCCTGTATGAATGTTGGTCAAATATTCCTCAACCTAAATTATTGTAATGACATGGAGACAATTGTAGGCTCTGGTGAACCGTGATATTGATGACTTAATTTAAAAATCATATTGTGAAAATCAAGATGAAATATATAGAGCTGCATTCCCTACTGATGCTAACGAGGATAGGGTATCAACCTACCGTACTTGTAACTTTTGGATATATGGACCTTAAGAGCTAAACTGTATTTCTTTTTAATCAAAAACTTGTATTTTATCTTTCCACGAGAGAGAGAGGAAAGTGCTTGTTGAACAACAATCACCTTACGTGTTATTGTTGGTTGCATGGTAACCTGATAAAAAAAAATTATGCTTTGAATTGCGAAGATGATATTTAAAAACGAGTCATTGTAGCAACTAGTCTCTTTATAGTAGCCCCAGGAATGTGATATCATGTTGAAAACCATACCACTACTTGATGATAGACGGATTAAAATTCTATTAAGTTATGACTATGTTGTTATATCATATAAACTATATGAGTACTGCATGATAGAGTGACATAACTTTCAATAAGTGTATTATTATATTGTTATATGAATAAACATGTCTTTGATGTGACATAGATGTGTATTGTGAAGATATATCTAAGCATAATATTCAAAGCGTAACACTCATGGCTGCAAACCAGCTTTCCATCACATTTACACAAATAATATGATCGCTATCAATTAGGAAGTGGATAGTTGCCATATTTCATTTTTGCTGTTTGTCTTGTTTCCCTGGTACTTCTATGAAAGATAGTACAAGTGTGTCTGGTGCAACTGACCTCCATGCCACGGCGGTTATGAGAATGTGTTTGGTTCTTTCCTCACTCCTTATATGCATGTAACTACAGATGTAATGGCATCACAGAACAAATTTAGCGTAAATAATTGACTTGTGCTTTCGTCTCTCCAGAGGTACATTTCACGTCTAGCAGCACAAAGGCCAATCATCCTTCTTCCTACTCTGAAGGAAAACCTGGATCTTGCAGCAACAACAAAGTATAAGAAAGAGTGTGAAATTGATGAATTTCCAGATTAAACTGGTGCCTTTCGTCCGTCCATTCTGCTCGATTCACGCATGTATTCAGACAAGATGTAAAATTACCGGCTTGACTTCCAGCTTGACTTATATATATATATATATATATATTCCTGAAACACATTCTCGAACAAGTGACCAGAGCTTGGAACATTTCTGTTCTGCTGCAAATGTGGAATTTATCTGGAAAGGTTGACTTTAGAGAGGACTAGAACGCGGAGAGAAACTCGATGAAACAGCACACACACACACAACTCCTTCAATGGGGCCTTGGCCCTTATCGACCACCGTGATTCATTTCTTCACACTTGTAATGCATACTGACCAGGCGAACAAACGGAAGACTCATTCAACTTGGACCGAAACGCACCCAAGCCAGGAGTTATGGACCATAATTACAAGCTCCAAGGCCCTCGCTGTTTTCTGAACACGCTTTGATTAGCCCTAAATTCAAATGCTACCACAACCGTTTCTCCCTATCCGGTTTCGTTGACACCGATGCATGCAGGACTATATTCCTCGTCTAGTTAGGCGATGACGGATCCAGTCAAATTCACAGTTTTCCTTCAATGCTGTCCACGCGCAACAACATGTTCTAATTAACAAATCCAGCAAACTCACATGCCTTAATAGCGATGATTCCTGATCACTTAGCACGAATTATGCAGTTATTCTTCCCCTTCAATGCCCAGCTTCCGGGCAACCACAATGTCCTCTAATGGCCCGTCACGCCACGGGCTCCCACGGTTCCCCGGCCTCCAACCAACCGCCGAGACAAGGCCTACGGTTCGAACTACGCTACGGGACCTTCCGTTGTCAGACGCTCACAAACACAAACTAGGGTAGGCTAGCACGGTCACCGGTGTCGCAGACCCACAGACTCACAGTAGTGTTAGGCCGCCTTCCTTCGGGGTTAGAGCTATAACCGAGCGGTTAATAACGTGCTCCATCTGCACTACGAAATCTCGCGACCTTTCTGGACCTACCGAGTATGAACGAATTTTCTAGATGTGTCAGCTTCGTCCTGGTACTGCAGTGCTGCAGCGTTTAAGCTGCGCTTGGCCTCCGGAGTCGGCGGTCAGAATCCGTTGAGCTGACTTTTAGCACATACGCGACTGTGGGGTTTAGCGATCAGCGATCAGCGCCGTATCTGCTCGCCACCTTTCCTTCTGTCCGTCATTCTGCCCTCGCCGGTTTCCCCACCTCTTTACTACCGGTCTTGCCTTTGTCTCTCCACGTTAGGGCCGAAGTACCCGACTACTGTTAGTCATCAGATCTGTGCGTCCAGACACAGACACAGCGGAAAGGTTCTCGCATCCAACTCCTCCTTTCTGCCGAGATTTGGAGTATTATTTGTTTACAGGAACTCTTCAGAAACCACATTCAAAAAACCATAATGGGTGTGATCATTTCATGTGTTCTATGTATTCACGTGCTTTATTATTTTACTTAAGATTTACTAATATATTGCGAGAAGTGCCTCGTGCATCGACTCCCTCAGAGAGTCACCTATATATTATACATTTTATTTTATTTTACTAATTATGCACTTTGTACGTTTGGCGTGGGGATTGTTTTATCGCTCTCCACTGTGTCAAATCCTCCACGTTGAAACGGATTCATCTTTGTGCGATACGATCCCTTTCGGTGGAAAACGACTACCATCTTCGAATATGCCGACCTCTCTGCTTCCGCGCTCGGTGGGGAGAAAGTATCCGCTTTCACAACCCGATGCACAACGCACTGATAGCAACGCAGCCGGAAACCTTGTGTCCTGTAAACTTCCGTCCGGCCGGTGCAGCAGCGAGTCACGCCCTTCTTTCGACAACCGATCGTTTATTGTGCCTTCTGCTTCACTCGAGCCCACCGCAATTTTGGAACTGATCCACCTCATTCAATTCTTAATTTCCTTCAACGGTGACTAGACCCGACAGGGTTTCCACTCGACTTCTGGCTTCAAGAAACAGCGAAGAGATTAATCCCTCTCCTCGAACCAGAAGACGCCATGTGTCCTACTCCGCCGTGATTCCAGAATGACCGTCTGCCGTCGTCGTTCGGTGACCGAATACTCCTGCTTGTCTCGAGACCATATGCCGCTGTTTGCGTCGCTACGTGTCCAGGCCTGTCTGTGTTTGTTGTGGCCTGCATTACTACGTTCCTGTTGACCTGCAGTAGAGGGGCTCATGGAAGGTCACCTCCACAAATGCGAATTTGAACCTCTTATCTCTAGCGGTGAACCGTGTGCTGGCTAACTATTACCGGAGGCCGTTTAACTTGCCCGTCACGGTTTACTATCCACGGTTGGCACTCTCTTACCATGTCAGCAGCGCTCGCCGTCGCTGCTCACTACGCAACTCGACCCGAAGGTTGGGCTTCAACACCTCAAACTCAGCGGAACCAGATGCGATGCCTCGTGTAATTTGACTCGACATGGTTATTTCGGGTTTCGAACTCTTCTCAGCTGTCAACGGCACACGATCAGCATCTCACGTTTGTTGAATCGGTGTACTCCTGTCAACGAACTACGGTTCGAACTCTCGTCACATGTCAACGTCAGTGACGTAGCTTCGTTCCAAGGGTTTTCTCTTACCGGGGTTCGACCTCGGCCTCAGTCGGCCGCAGATTGTCTCCAACAAGCTGGACCTAACCTGGAGTACTCGTCGTCGTGCCACTTTACAGTCCTCCGTAGCTGCTGATTTCTATGATTAATCTTGTAGGGAAGCCCCGCGGCTAGTGAGACAAGAACGGGTTTCGGTCAAACGATGGAGAGAAAATGTTTATGAATATTTATCGAGGAGGACAGCTTTATGCTCCATTCGTCGCACGCCTGGGAAAATGTGTGATATAAAATCGGGGAATTTGAGTCGGAAGTTGCTTCCATCCGAGGACTTGCTTCCCAGAAACGACGTAGGGCTTTGGCGTGTTCGTCTTTACCGCTGTGGCATGGAGGTGAAAGGTGCCAATGATGACATTTCAACTCGGCTCAGCGTTGGAATGAATCGGCTGAAAGATCCATTTGGACTCGAGCCTTTTTCCTGCTCGAGTGTTCAAGCTCTCTTGGATTGTCAAATGATTGTGGCGGTCACATTGACCTCAACTTGTAACGAAAGATCCTCCCTCGTTCCGTCATTCGTCCATCCACATTGACTCGAGGTAGAAAAGGTATAATGCCTTCACAAAAACCTCTTGCGACGATTTTCCGTTGCTCAAGTCACTCGATCAGAGGAAGAAGGAGACAAGTCCTCCGCCCTCGTTTCGCATTCTCGATTGTAGCACGCTAATGAGCTGTATGTATCCTGGATTCCATTATGACCATATCATGATTTGCGAGCGGCTATCTTTTTGACAAAAGCCTAATCATACTCCCTGTTAGCATGCTTCGAGTGCATGCGACTTGTTCTTCAGATCTTCGTCGTCGCTCCGATCGGACCCTGACAGTGGATTTCACATCCAGGTTTAGATAGATTCCCTCTGATCTAGCCATCGCCGGGTGCTCGCATCAGTCAGAAGTCGAGAGCCGAAATCAAGGCAAGCGCGGAAGTCCGAAGGTTTGTTCCCTGCTTACATGCTAATCTCGCTGCGCACACTCGTGAGAAGCAACTGCACCAGAATCTGGAATTCTGAACATCCTCCGTCTCAAAGGAAACGTCACCCCGCGCGGGGGCAGACAATCAGCAAAAGGCTCTGGGGCACGCTCTTGCGAGATTGACATGCCCGTTCACCGGAACCGATTTTCACCCACCTCCTTCAATGGTGGTGCGCCAGCCATCATCAGGGCTAGCATCGGGCCGACTAGAGTAATCATCAGTCGCGCGCTGCCGTAGGTTCGAGCCTGGCTGCCTGCAGCGCGAGCGCTGTGGGCGCCTTAATGCGCTGTAAGAGATCGACTGAACCCGCGAATCCATCTCGTGTCACTCCCTGGCCGCGCTCTACGCCGGTCGCGTACGTACGAACAGACGACGACGACGACGTCTACGACGATGGCGGCGGAGGCAGGCATGCTCGTGGAAACGTGGTGAATATGGACGCCCTCGTATGAAGGCGTGACACACACAAACAGGGAAAAGGAAGATGCGCTCTTACTCAGAAAACTCCCGAAATGGAATCGAGCAATGGATGGGCCAATCCAGTTCTATCCTATCCTCCTTCCGTTACACGGGCGTACTGATACGGTCCAAGTGTTCTGCAACAAACTATCGAGGGGACGCAAGATGACATCAAGAAGACCCAGTTCTCGACTTCTCGCTTCTAGGGCTCGCTCGAGGTGCGGATAGATGCGCGGTTCGGAGGACGCGAGAGTGGGTGTGTACGAGAGTGGTGGTCTCGAGAAAATCTACAAATATCTCCCGACCCCGCAGCGCAACCGATGAGCTCGCAACGAAGGACCGGCCTGACTCCTGTCGGAATCCTTTGGCTTCGGTTCCTTTCGCGGGGCATTAATTTGGCATTCTCTCGCTACGATGTGTCGCCCCTCGCTCCGTCACCATCTTCGTAGACGGACAGGGACACTTGTCGATGTTCCTCGGATGTGTATGCGTAGTGGAGTGCGGCGGTGGAGTGGAACCGAAAAGCTTGTTGGGTATTGATACGATCAAGGCCGAGGGGGTAGAAAGGCAAAAGCGAGGTGGAGCGAAAAGGGAGGAGGAATCATCTTTTACACACACTATGATCGAAATGCATCAATGCCCCCCATGCCCATGCCCGAAGTTCGCAACGTGAGTCACCTCTCGAGACGAGTCACCACCGAAACTGCTGCTGCGGCATGGTGGCGACCAATCGAGCCGCGGTCCTGTCGACACGGCCCGGAGTGTAGCTCTAGGAATTCGGACCCCTCGTCATGTCGAGCGTAGAAATCTAGTAAATTTGTTACGGGCATGCGAGTTACACCTGGGAGTGTTAGCGTGGAGGTTTTATTTATTCCCCGGGGAATAACAAATCGCCACGATGAGCTCTGAAGCACTGCACACAATCTTCCAAAGTTCCAGAATCCAATTAGGGATTCCCGTTGGTATCTGACACGATTCCACAGCCCGGAGAATTACGTGCCTGCCTAACGGCTGCGATCGTCGCGATGCCCGTCGAAGAGAGAGAATGAGTTAGCGGATTATGCCAGTGCTCCAGCAAAGTGGATTAGAGAATTTCGCTGCGGCTGAATCTGCTTTGCATGCTAAAGACATGCGAGCCTTCTCAAATCTAGTGGGGGATAAGTCGAGCGTGGTGGTCTGGACAACGATCCCACTCAATGTCCCCTTACGTACCTCCCCCTCTCTCCACCTCTCACTCCCGCTCTCTACTCTCCTCCCTCCCTCCCTCTCTCTCTCTCTCTCTCTCGCTCCCTCGAGGGATCTGTCTGCACAGCACCAGACTGCAGCATGCGCAAACGAATCGTGATCTTCGGCATGACGACGAACAAACTGTGCAGATTCACATCCACAAGTTGCGCTACAATGTCCTCACCATCACCACAACCACGCCGCTCCAAGCACAAGCACAAATGGCCCACGCCTTTCCCTTTCGTGGACGGAAAGGCGGCTTCTAGAGGACGGCGTTTGTAGCCTCGTAGTGGAAAGGACCAAGTGGGCACCGAATTGGCGCCAGCTTCATGCCAAGCCTTTGCAAATAGGAACGTTTGGCTCCATCCACATCCGACACTTGCATCCGTGAACTAGATTCCCCGGGCCCGATCATCTGGAACCGTCCGTGGTTGATTTTCTCTAACCCGTCGGTTGTCCGAGGCGGCTTAAAAGTTAACCCAATCGCCGGGTCCTGATTCCAGATTCCAGATTCCAGATTCCTAACCTCGTAAGTGACCGCCCCGCCGTGGTTATTTTCGAACCGCCGTCGTCGTGCTTGGATCCCGTCAACCCAATCACCGGGCCCGGATTCCAGATCCGTAACCACGTAAAAAGAGCCGGCGAACCGGAACAAGAGTCGCCACAATTGACTCCAGGTGGTGGTGGGATCGAGGTTCGAGCTTCGTCGGGTAGAGGGAGGGAGGGAGGGAGGAGGAGGAGGAGGAGGAGGACGCAATTACACCGGAGCGTCGAGAGTGGGGACTGGCGGAGGAAAGGACCTAATGAGCCATCGCCAGCAGTCATCGGAGGCATTAAATGAGCGATAAGCAAATTGATTGTCCGATGCTTTTTGCGGAACCCTCATTTGAGCCAATCATGCCCTCGCTGCACTGTTTTCGGACTCTTGCACCGTTCTCGCATACAACCAAAGGCTCCGTCAGAGCTGCAGTCCCGTGCCTCCCTAGGCTAGGTGTGGTTAGCAAGAAACGAAAGCGTTGCACACGAAGGTTTAAATTTATACATGGCCCAGCGAGGGCGATTGCCCCGATTCAAGGAAAACCAAGTCCCCGCGGAGAACCAGATTGACTTTTAAGGTTCGCTCGCCAAAAGCACAAGCACGCAGTCCCGTTTGTCATCTTTCGGTAAATCGTTCAGGCCTCTTGGGCAAAGAATCCGTTTTCTGTCATGTTCGTCTTTTATCGCTTACCGGAGTGTAGGTCTGAGCGAAAAGCTTATTGACTAGCTCTGTCACCAGCGTTGATCGCTTCCCTTTCCTCCCCTTCTTGGATGGTGGGTACCCATGCACGGGGTGAAAGGCAAAGAGAAGCGACGGACGAGGCAAATCAGATGATACCATGCAAACATGTCCGAGATGTACTGAGGTATCTCTCCATCTGCTTCATTGCTCCCATACTCTTATGACCTAGCCAAGTTTTTGGTGGCATGTACCCATGCAGCCTTACATTGTGAGATGTCATTTCATGTTAGGGCCAAATGATTGACATGTGTGAGGAATACCAAACTCTCAGAATTTTATGTTGAGCTCGTGTTAGGATAACAAGCATGCAAATCCACTCTGCGGAGTTAGAGTTAAGCAATAAAGGGTGTCACCCCATGACAGCTGCAAAGGTTGAGGCTCTCGTCCCGAAAACATGTGTTAGGACTCGAAGTACTGTACCGATGTCATGGCAGGTTCTACTCTAGTCCTTCAAGCTACTGCTGTACTAATCCTAAGCTATCATGTCCAGTGTAGGCCTGCTCTCGAGCCATGTTTCAGCATCAAGTATCATTCATTACCTAGGAAACATAGCTCTTTTCGTGTGGAAGGGAAATGTTTATTCGCGTATGCAAAACAAGCAAACGAGAGAGAGAGAGAGAGATCACGGCCTCGCCCCGTCAGGGCTTACAGTGGAATACTAATCGACCTTAGCATACATCTGATATCACCAGGGTAGTCTTCATTGGAAATCCAAATTGTTTCATCCTGGAGGATGCCTCTCCTCTGAGCCCAAAAGTACTATCAGCCCGCTTGCTTGTCTTTGTAATGTTCACCAGAATGGTAGTATTCTCACATGCAGACGAGCTTGCATTGTGCAGCTAAATACATGAGGAGGCTCCTGCAGTGTGGAAAGAAGATCCTCCCAGGCTTCCTACACTGTGCAGTAGACTTGTGAGTGGAAGTAAAGTGGGGCGAAGGCGTGGTCAAAACATAAATAACATCGGTGAGATTGGACTTGAAGTCTAGGAGAACTGTAGGTGCCATAATTAACCTGGTGGGGACAGCCCCAAAAATCTCCTAACCAAGCCTACATTTAACATTTGTTTGGACAAAAGACAGAGGAAAGTTGTGGTCTTAGTTTCTCTTTACGAGAGGGCCTCGCCCAAAGACATAGGGGGTGCCTCGTTGCTCCATCTTACACCACAACTAAGCTGAGGTCCTCCCATTGGACGACTATCATGGCCCTCGCCGAACAAGAACGAGTCCCCCAAAGAAAATTCCTCTCTTCCCTTGCGGGCTTTTTGGGTCACGATGATTATACAGAAAGTTCCTGTAGGTTTCGATTCAACACACCCTCGCCAACTGCTATTGCTGTTGCTACTTCTCCTGCTAGCTCGAAGAAGACTACTACTATTACTACTACCTAAATAATCACAAACCATGCCATGCCTCTTGCCTCATAAATAATTTGGTTTAGCTTTTCTACTGAACGTGTTTTGGTTGTTCAGACTTCTTTTTCCACTCTCCCTCTCTCTCTCTCTCTCTCTCTCTCTTTTCCTTCGTTCCTCCCTTCAAAGGCGGTACTCACCTCTCCCGGTTAGTCCCTTCCTTCACAAGGAGATTATATGTTGCTGGGCGGTCCTCCCATCCTTTTTTGTTATCTACTCGGCCGCCTGTTTCACGCTGGGGTGCTAGAGTTGTGGGATATTTATATGGTCACTCCACTTTACTAACACAAAAGTTCTGGTATATCCACATCTTCTAAAGTGTTCTTAAGGTGATGCTTACTAGCAGGTCATACTTTTATTGACTGCACTTTTATAGAATGCTTACGCAAATATTGCTCGGCCTTACGGCGATGTAATATGTGCAGCTTGCAACAAGGCAGGATATCAGCTCCGTTGGTTGGAGATCCTAATGCTATGTGGACATGGGCCTGCTTGCCATTATATACGACTTGAACAGGATTTATAGAATCTGATGTTATTTCTCCTAGCACACAACCGAGTCTCGGATTCCTTTTATAGGTATTTCCAAGATAAGGATAGGATTTGGACCTGCTCCTGTAGATTCCAATAATTTGACGTTCTGAGGGTGTCTCGAGGGCTTGTGATGTTTTGATGTACCACGTTCTGCTCGTGGGAGACAAACATAACTGAATTTCCCATTCATATTATCAGGATATACTGCTCATAGTCGAAACATGTTTTTGAACGTCCTCTTTGTTGACAGTTGCCTTTCTTTTGCTCCACTTCCAGCATCCATACCCTCTCCAGTATTGATAGTTCCCATACTTCAGTTCAAACCCTGGTCGGTAGGCATTTCTCTCATCAAACATGATGGTGTATGTCGCCCCTTCCGAACAGTAGATTTTGTGGACCTGACATGGTCGGTTTATTAAAGCTGTTGTTGGCATACCTTTGCTTGTTTTGATTGTTCCGATGACGACATCCTCCTCTGGTCTCGCAACTTTGAATCTGCGGGTCCCCAAAATTTTTCCCGATTGCATACACTTGGCTCAAGGGCCTTCTCTTGATTCTGTCACATAAAGATTGTCGACAGCCGAGGCAAATAACGACCCAGAGGACCTAGCAACCTTCATTCAAACCGTATACGTATTCCAGCATGTAGTCAGGCCATGTACATTCCAGGAGAAGGACCGTGTGTATGGCATCCTGCGTGACAATGATTCTGTTGTAATTGGAAAGAAAGAGGGAGAGAGATTTACATGCTGTCACCTACGGACGATTGTCGACCATGGGCACCATGATTGACGACGATCTTCGGAAATGCAAGGAGGCTCCAGGCCTCCATAATCTGCATTGTCTACTAGGCGTACAGCCTGACTTCGCAATGCACTGGGGGACAACGTCCATTCATCGAAAATACCATAAATACCATTCAATACAAGTTGTCCCAACGCTTTCTAACTGTTCCTTGACAACTTCGGTGTCGGCAATCCTCTTCCCACTTACAACGTCGGCCCTGGCCGACTTCCAACTGGCCCAGCAGCACTTTGGTTCGCTGCCACCCAGTTGTCACAAACCCTCTTCTCCGTAGGTCAAATGTTGCCGCTATTCCAGCAATCAAGAGTTGCGAGTTTGTGGATTCTTAAAATCGGCAGTCGGGAGGCAGGGAGAGGACCGGATCGAACGCAACAAGAGGAAACCATGCTTCATGGCGATCCAAGTGTGTGAGTATTATTTGCTGGACAAACTCCAACGTCAAACACAAACTCCAGTCCTGAACATGCGAAATGCTGTCACAGCACGAGAGAATATTGGAGAGAAGTTAGTAGACAGTAAGTACACTGTAAACTGCAGACATAGATACGTTCCCACGGAGGCAATACGCTGTTCCCGACCGGTAATCAGGACCTACTACCTACTTCTGCCGGTACCTCTCCTTTCTTGCGACCTGCTTTACCGACACACCGCGAACCGCCCTCGAGCCCGCAGGTGACCTGCTACGGCACAGCGCAACAGTCGGTCGCCCACCATACATGGACGTCAGTCCCTCAGTCGAGAGTGTTCTCCATTCGGATTTGTGCAATTTTTCGAGCCATATGTGAATGAGATCCGCAGCCATGGACGGAGGCCCTAAACACGATTAGCCTGCGACTTAATGCGGGTGACGAGGGGTTTGACTTTCTTGCCGTCCGGTTCGGTGTCCGCGTCCAGGGGCCCAGCCCAGTTGCAGCGCTGTAGCGTATCCAATCCTGTCGAGCGTCCCAGTTTAGGCTTCCGGCTTGCTTTCTTCAGCAGCGAGGAACTCCAGTCTGTCGCATGATGTTGAGCCCTGCGCCTGGTCCAGAGTCATTAACGAACGACCTGATTGGGATTTTCGTGAAGGGTTTCGCGCCTGCTATACTTAGAATCCGCCTCGAAATTGTACGCGGAGTTCAAGTTTCTCGTTCTTTCTCGTGGTGGCTCCGCACTGTGACTATTCTGATGTGGACAGCGTGCGATCGTAATAGTAAATCCGGGCATTCTCGGCTTTTCACAATCATTAGGCCACACATAATCATTGCGTGCGTGGGCCTTCGGGCTCTCGTGGTGGGAGATCTGGCTCGCCGCCCAGCCCTCGTCACGACGAAGCGCGATTTCGCGAAAGAGACGAATTTAGAGTACGGGAAATTGGATCTCCCATTATCACGATCAAAGCTGTCAACGAGTCCAAGGCCAAGCGGAATGGGCCGCCGTTTATACAACGACGATCGGATCCTAATCCTTCTCCGGACCTCAGTCCACGAGATACAGAGCTGCACCTCCCGCTGTCGAGAGCCCATTGTTCCGAGTCCATATTGGATCTTATTTGCACGTATGATCTCGTAAGTGTTGCTTCCGGTCTTTTGCCATACCCCTGTCTGCCTCTCTCTTTCAGGTTCGCTCCCCATCCGGCGAATCGAATCGGACGACTTGCCCCTGAAAAGCAAATTCCCCACTCGCTCTCATAACTCGGCAAGCCAGCTCCACTGCCCAGCTCTAATGAAGTCTATATTGGATCTTAGTGCCCAGCCCTCGCCCGTCTTTCGCGCTTTCCACTCCCTCGCTCATTCGACGGCCCGATAGCCCGAGATATCACAACAAAACAGCCCCGGGACCCCCTTTTCTATATTCCGACGAGCCTTCCATGCCTTACCAACTTTCTTCCCGCGAATCGCCCGAGTCCCCACCGCAACCCGACTCCAGGCACGTCGACGGCCGTCAGCGGTCACAGGACCCGGCCCGCGAGTGGAAACGCCGGCGTCGATGACTTGGCCGGGACTTCATGTTCGAGGCCGAGAGAAAGGGCGGGCGTCGTCCAGGAAAGGGGTTCGGTAGAGGCGACGCCTTGTGCTTGCCATTCGAGAGGCGTCTATTTTGCCGAAAGCCAGGACGTGTTGTGGAAGAGCGGACGCTGAAATCATTTGCCTCTTGCTTTTTTTAGGCCCCTCCCGGCCCTGGGAGGCTAGCGCGCCTATTTTTGCCAGATATTATCGACACTATACGTCTGCAGGCGCTAGAGTGCCAAAGTTAGCAGGAGGAAAAGTGGCCGAGCGTGCCTTTTCTTCAGAATATCGTTCGCTCGGACAGCATATGTTGGCAAAAGTCGATAGATGCGCCAACCTATTCCTGGATATTTTGTCTCTTCCGATTTTTCGTCGCCCGGCCGTCCGATTCGCCATCTTTGGCCGCCACGTCGATTGGCCTCCGCTGCCGGCGTCTCACCCTCCGATGGCAGATCGGACGGCCCCTCGGTGGCGGTCCTGAAATTCGATATATCTTCGATTTTCAGTGGAGCATAAGCGATCGGACGGCCCCGGGTCTGCCATCTGAACACATCGACGGCGCTGTGAGTCGCAGGGAAGCGTTAACCCCCCGTGATCGAGTGCGCAAGGGAACATGCATTTGAATGTGGATGAAGATCTCATGATCGACGCTCTGGGGGTACTGTAAAGTCCAATCTTCTCTGCCGTTCTGTATTGTACGAATGAGACGCCCTTTTATACGATCCATCGTGACCGTTGGTCGGGGTGTGGACGGTTCGATGAGAGTATTTGGGTGCATGTATATTGCCGACTCAGAAGTCATGCATGCATACAGGCCTCGTATTCATGCACGGAGGTGTCATTTGATACGAATGCATAAAGTTTTATCATGATCAACTGCAAATTCACGGTTATTATAATATCATTTCTTTTGGTGCTTTTTGTAAAAAAGTATTAACTCTAGGTGTGTTGTATGACCGGGAGTGCGGGCCATTTATAGACATCCTTGAGAGCTACTTGAAATCGAGAAGTTTCTCGACAAAATCTTCAAAAGTGAGAATTTGACTCATACATTTTCAACATACCCTTTTCCCGCATGTAAATGTAAAAGAGCCCAACAAGACTTCTTATTTCTGGTTTTTTTTCTTCTAGATTACACTAGCATACCGATATTTGAACACAAAAGGAATTATCAAGAAGGAAAGGGACAATTTCAGCATATTTACTTTAAAGTTCCATTTTTTCTATAATTGTTATATAAAGTGATTCTTCACAGTTATTTCAGTGATAAATAATCTATGATCTTTTTATACAGTACGGTTGAAACCTATTAAGCGCTTAATATTAGTTTACCTATTCAGTATGAAGCCCGTTAGTGTTTTAACCTAAACGTGACTCTTTTGAGGCAATGATCAATATACAGCTAGATATACATATATTTTCCAAAATTCTTTGGCTGTTTCATAATCATTCGATTAATTACAAGACCCTGAAGAATAAACACTTGATGCCTAAAAAAAATTTCTCGTAAAGGAGGTAGACATGTTTAAGCTTTACTATCGGCCTTAAAGTTTCTAAATAATTGTAACAAGTCCAGTTACAAGATGAACCTTATAGTCAAACTGAAATGTCCTAGATCCCAAGGCACTAAAGATCCTTTACTCGTTAAAATTCTCCACTAATCGTGCCATGTTTCACATATTGGACTGAATCAATTCGACAAGGCGCTTGCAAACTTAAGAAAAGTTGAAACTAAATCGTCTCGTGATAAAAGAAAAAGTTAGGGCAAGCCAATTCGTGGATATTTGATATCAGGATTTATTTGCGAGAGAGAAAGAATATGTCTAGATTGCAGACGTTGCAAGTTGCAAGAGAGAGGTTCGTAAAGATGGGAAGACCCTAGCGAGTGAGTGAGTCGGGCATGGATAAATCCAAAGCATTTACTTCTCTCCCCTTGAGAGTTGAGGTGCGAAGAATTGAATTACTCGGGCCCTTTGAGAGTTATGAAAGCGAGCTGGGCTGGGCTCCAGGAGTACAAGAGAGGGAAAATGGCCAATGGCACTAAGTCAAACGGTTGGAATTTATGATGCGGATCGATGTGCGGGAGTACGTCTAGATCGAGGGCCTTGCAAGTTGCCGAGGCTCGCGAGGCTCGCGAGGCCCTCGGAGCGGCACAAGTTTCCAGCCGAGGGCATTGAAGGCTAGATGGCCCAGCCGTAGGGCGTCCAGATGGAACATTCGTTACATTCCTGACAGGCGCGGGGGGTCCATTCCGAATCGCATCGACCGGATTCGAGCAACTTGGGCTGCCAAATGTAAAGGCTCGCTTGCATATTCTTCGCGCTCGATCATTTGCAGATTTGAGAGGTCTGTTGAGTGTACGTCGAGAGTACGAATCCCATCATTTGGTGGCGTTCATCCGAGAAACACGGGGGAGAGAAGGGACTCAAAGGCACTCAATTCTTTCAAAAGCACACCTACAGGACCGGATAGATGTTCTCCTAATGCTGCGATGCAGTAATCCATGTCTGGGTCCTTTGGGAAATTGGTAAATGCACCAAGTGGGTCGAAAGGGCAAATGGACAATCGCATGGGAAAGGAGACTTGTCCAGTGACAGCATGTGAGCCTTCCTTCCACTTTACCGTTTATGATGCCGCTCCGCTAGGTTTACAGGTGTTCGTCCACCCTCTCTCTCGGTGACGCGCTCCAAATGCCTTCCTTCCGGCCGGGTCAAGCACATCGCTTACATAAAGCCCGTCGACAATTGGTGCTACTACTACAACGACGATGAATTACGTGACACGCTAGCATCTTTCCGTTTTCGGAACCTCTTTTCCGCATTCTGTGAGTTCATGTTAAAATTTCTAGAATGCAGATGGCGCGTACAAGTGAAAATATCTATTGAGTCTTTTGAGAGATCTTGAGGGACCTAATCACCATTTTTTCTTCCCATTCTAGATTAAAGTAAGAACTTCAATTTTGGACGGTCAGACATGTTTGTTGGACGGGGGGCGGAGTGTTGCTTCACGGACAGGAGTTTGAAGTTTAGGAACCATAATTTCGTCAAACTGTACGAGAAAAACAGTTGAGCTGGAAAGGAGAGATGTGTCCAGGCTTACGAGGGCGTTTGTCATCAATGGCTCTTCGTTCTTCGATTCGATGCTGGTTTTGCTGATATAATCATTAGCCTCCCCACTCCCCACTCCCAACCAGCTGAGAATATAGACGGGTGTAAATATCTGGCCCAGCGAAATCTACAAACAAACCTAGATTGTAGAAATCAAAGAAGATTCAGGATGCAGAAAGTATTTGATTTAAAGCAAGGAGGAGGGACGGATCTACAGAAATGGAAAGTCCCGCAAGGAAAAGGAAGAGAGAGAAGGACCATTTCATGAAAGAAGAGAGATCATAGATGTATGCAGATTCGTCAGATGTAAACACATGAATTGTAGGATTGATTTTGCATCGAGAATCGGAAGAGTCAAAATCTATAATGTGGTCCAAGTGGGTCAAGGGCGGTGATTGGGTCATGTAATGAATATCATGCAAGTTCCTCGTTAATGCTGTTGTTTGCGGCATTTTCATGAGTGCCGCGCCCAGAGCTGTTGTATGGTTGATGGCCTGGGCTGCCTGGCCACATTCATAATTTGCCTTTGCTGAATATTCTGTCTGCAATGAATGTCTGCTGTTTGCAGTTCTGTTTTGAAACTTCTTGTAAACATACGCTTTGACTTATGCCATCATTTACACCGTCCCATGCATCATTGCCTTCCCATCCTTTTGTGCTATATTACTTGGTCCGCTTCCCCTCATTGCCTGAGTGGAGTTCAATGCCTTTCCTCAAGTAACCTGCACGGATGAAGTTGTTAAAATTATTCTACATTTTCTTCTTCCCATTAGTCCAAAGAAACAAAAGAAATTTTAGCAAGTCTGACCCCTTTTTCCTACTCGAAGAATTATGCTGCCACCCAGTAGATTTTGTGAACCCCTTGATCTTCCAGCAAACCGAGTCTCGCGCTTCGAATTCGTTACGTCGCCCGAGTGTAACGTTCTAATATTATGTGGAGAAAATCTACTCATTCTACTGTCTGGAGTGAGGTGGAGTTTGACGAACAATATCAATCATTGTAAGGGTCATGCTTTTCGGGCTTGCTGCTTTGAGACCTTCGTGTCCCATGATTGTGTCGCAATTTTTTGTGTACGTCTGGAATATTTTATACGAACTATCTCGTTAGTAAATGCCCGTATGAATGCTCAATATCTGCTTCAATTTATCCAGCCCTATACTTCTCTATTCATTGTTTTTGCGAGGTCCTCAAATGATGTCATTAGAGGAAGTCTGAAGGATGAAGGTGATGCAAAAAGTGTGCATCATCTTTATTCTTCAGATCTTTTGAAACAATGACCGTCTCTCCTGTTATTATTATAACTAGAACGATGATTATTTTTAATAAGAGTGTGTCATGGAAGTCCCTTGTTCCCTTGCTTCGAGAGATGTCATCATGTATCAAAGTAACAGTCAATCCAAGAGTTGAATACTGCTGGGTTCTGATATTTCACCTCGCCTAGGAGATCTTCCAGTACTCAAAGAGGTCAGACTTTTCACGGATGAAGAAAGAGTATTCAGTATCATGGACTGCAACTTAACTATTGTTATATGTTTTTGAGTGCTGCTACTGACAAATATCACATGGCGACCAACAACGCACTGCAGAAAACACTTTTCATCGCATATGCCTACTAGAAGATTGCATTTCTTTATAATTTGAAGGTGCGAGTAAGAACACCAGGTCGGAAGCACACGGTACGAGTTACAGAAGTCAATGTAACAGATTCAGATATACGCCCAGTGCACTCTTCTGAATGAGTTGTCTGCAAAAGTGATCTTGTACTCTACGTTCGTGAGCCTAGGAACTGCAGCAAGAAATTTATTGTACATATCCACCGTGTGGGTATTACCAAGCCCTCTTCTTCCCTTTATAAGTTTCTCTCTCTCTCTCTCTCTCCCCCCCCCCCCCTTTTTTTCTCTCTCTCTCTCTCTCTCCCTATCTTACATAGGCATGATGGTCTGAGATCTTCCGAAATGATTTTACATGACAAAAACATTCTTCGAAAGTCAAAAGTA